CTGCCTCAGCCTCCTGAGTGCTGGGATTACAGGTGTGCGCCACCACGCCAGGCTGATTATTTACATTTAAATGTTCAGGATAGGTATAGCAGTGTTGCTCAGTGGCAAAGCATTTGCCTAATATGTGGGAGACCCTGAGCTGAATCTCCAGCAGCACTGAAAAAAAAATTTAAGGATAACCAGAAAGAATAAAAACACAAGCTTTGATAAGAGAAAAAGTCCATTGTAAAAGAGTAAAAAATAGTCTAAATATAATAGTAATCAATAAATACAAATAGAAACACATTTTATACATACATACAGAAATAAATTGATATACACCTATTTTGGAGATTATCGCGTTAGATTTTTTATCTCATCAAGTTTATTGGTACATTTTAGGTATACAGTACAGTTACATTCATCATAGGGATCTTGTACCTTTCCATGACAGGTCTTGGTTCTCATTTTTTCCCCTTACCCCTGCCCTCCCTTCACCCCCTCCACTCATTAGATTTCAAAACACAGTCTAGACATATACTGAATACACTGACCTTAAAAAGTACACATAAACTAAAAATTTAAAAGGAAAATAAAGGAAGCTAGAATGATATTTTGCATAAATACTTACCAAAAGAAAGCTGAAGCCTGGTGTGGTGGTTCATGCCTATAATCCAAGAACTCTAGGAGGCTGAGACATGAAGACTACAAGTTCAAAGCCAGCCTGGGCAACCTAGTAAATTAGTGAGACCCTATCTCAAAATTTAAAAAAGGCCATGGACATAGCTCACTGTGAAGGTCCTAGGTTCAATCTCTAGTACAAGAAAGAGAGACAGAGAGAGGGGGGGGGAGGGAGAGGGAGGGAGAGAGAAGAGAGAGAGAGAGAGAGAGACAGAGAGAGAGAGAGAGAGAGAGAAATTTAAGGCCAAAAAGACTTCCAGTAATGAAAAGCAACATATACACATGGCCACATTTCCTTCCTGAGTCTATCATTTTCTATTTCCAGCAACAAAGGCTGACTTTTATTTCCAATCAGCATTCCGACATAGGATAGCATCAGTCACTTACTTTCATTTACCAATTGGATAAATAAAAAGAAAAGATCTTTTTATAGTTTAATTTCAAAGTTCATATTTTCTCAAACACAGCAGAGACCACACAACAGTATTTTGGAGTCAATGGCCGGCTCCCAGCCCAGGGAGACAGAAACTGTAGAGTTGTTGGGGCCCAAGGGGACACGGAGCCTAAGCCAATGGTGATAGGGATAATGGAGGGAAAAGACCCAGAGCTGATAGGCAGGAAGCTCATTTCCCTGGACATCTGAGCACTGAGCCCCAGCCCCCCGGCACTGTCCGTGTGGAACATATTCCAATTAATTCTGAGAAGCCTATTCAATTTCTGTGGAGTTCAGTACGTGTTTTCTATGCAATCATCAGCAAAGCTGTTCCATGTCCTGAGGCAGCAAATAATAATAATAATAATTATCTTACAACCCCTTCCGAAAGACCAGTTGCCTTTCATTTTCATGCAAAGCTTTCATTAGAAACTCTTGACTGGACTTAGCTGCTCTCTTGGTTACCTTCTCGTCACCCTTAACTCTAAGGAAGAAAGGTTATTGTAGCTCACAGTTTATAGAGATTTCAGTCCAGAGTCTGCTGTCTCCAAAACAGGGTGGCATAGAAGATGTGGCAGAGGAGAAACAGGCCATGGCAGGGCAGCAGGAAGCAGACAGCGGTCAGTCAAGGGAGAGGGACAGACCTTTCCAGGCCATGCCTCCAGTGACCCACCTGCCCTGACTAGGCTTCACCTCCCAACCTCACCTTTATCTATAAACTCATTGGTGAAATAATCCACTAATCCACTGATGAGGGTCATGTCTCCATCCATGAACCAATCACCTTCCTAAAGCCCCACCTGTGAGCACACAATGCTGGAGGGGGGCATCCACATAGAAACCATGACAGATGCAGTTAGAAATTTCCAGAGAACTCTTTAACATTTTTCCCTGAAAACAAAGAAAGAAAGAAAAAACATTTTCTATCAAATTTAGTAAAAGGTTACTGAAATTGTTGGTAAGAATTTGACTTTACTGAAAACAATTGAGTGATGAATTCATGCTAGGCTTTCTGCTGTGTTCTCAGATCTAATTCTCAAAACAAGCTACAGTTTGGGCAGCAGCATTGTTGTTTTGATTTTACTATCAAATTGATGCCAGCTAGGTTAAATGACTTGCCCAATGCCAAATGCTAATAAGCAGATGCATGCTTAAAACTCTAATGAATTCACAAAAGTAAATTCTCATATTGTTAACAGTATGGATAAGACTGAAAATTATGGTAATAGTTACAATTTCTCATTAACCAGCCTAAATCATTTACTCATAGAAGACTCTAGCTACAATAAAGACTCTAGGGTATACATTATGATTAATACAAGCAGAAAATTCAGATTCAATCTTTCTATGCATTCTGGAAAAATTTGTATGCTTAGTTAATAGCAGCAACCTTTTAAGAAAGGAGTAGGTATTTAACCATCCCCAATAATGCTGGATCCAGGGATATTATTCCCTGGCAGACTGGGCTCTTGTTCACATGGTTTTGCTGATGCAGCTGCTCCTGGTTGATTCTGAGAAAAGTATTTTGTTTTTTTTAAATTTATAGGCTGAAGTTAAAATTAGCAAAGAGTTTTAAAAGAAGTATAAAAACCATATGCATCTTTCTGTTATCTCAGAATACTGCCTTCATTTTTGCCCAGACTTTTTGCTTGAGTGACTGGAATCTAGATTTCCACGAAGGAAAGAAGGAAAATAATAGCCGGATATGGAAATTATTGCACAACTATGTAAGATATTTTACAGTAATAGAGAAAAAGTTTTATATTGCTTTGGTTTCTTAGTCACTTTCAAAATCAGTAGTAAAGAAGGCGAGGCAAAAGAGCTGACATTTTTTCGTGTTGTGTTTCATTTGCCTCCCCTGTCATAGCCACGTCCTATTTACCACTGTCTGCACACATGCAGGAAAATGAAAACAGACGGCACTTGCTGCAGGCCACAGACAAGGTTTCTTTTTATTTGGCATTGCGCAGCTCAAAGAGTATCAGCATCTCTTAAATTCTTCATCAAGGAATTGATTTAAAGTGGTAAATACATACCCAGCAATTCTAAGCCAGATCCCTTTCATTGTTATTAATGTTTTTAATAAAAATAAGAGTCTTAAAGAATGTCTCCTTTTTAGTTGTCCTTGTAAATATTTCTGCTATCTCAGGGGAAGTGTTGCAAAAAGCTTCAGGGTTTATCTTCAGCATAAAGATTTGCCTCCTGCAGCTCCCAGGTTGCTAAACAAATACACTGCAAGTATGTACCTTATTATCCCAAAACATGCTCTGTTGGAAATGTGCTTAGATGAATCTAACCACAGACCTCTTTTTCAAGGCCTTATTTTATCCTCACCTTTAGCAATTCTTTTCCGAAAACATTGAAAAACACAAAATGGCTTTGAATTTGATCTCTTTTCCCTGCTCAGCCTTTTCCTGGAAGAGTAAGAGTGGAGCAGACCAGGAAGTAAGGAGTATGAAGGAGCACAGCAAGACTCCCTACTGAACACGGAGAATAAGTATCAGCTCCTAAACAGAGTTGACATATTAGAGAATCAGGCTTGTAATTCTTGGCTGTAAAAATAAAAGTCTACAAGGGTAACAAGTGACAATACATAACTTATTTCTGAAAAAAATGCTTCTGCTTCTTCCTACACTTATTTAAAAATTAATAGCATATAAAAAAGTATTTTGTTCAGAGATTTTTTTTATCAAAGGAAATCCTAGGTAAATTTTATTAAGTACCTGACTATTAAGTGCTAGTTACTCTGGGTGGTAAAGCAAAATACAAATCAACAGCTAATTGCATATTAAAAGAACAGTAAATTCTTTGAAGCTCTTCTTTAAGAAGCTTCAGCTGTTTAATTAAAGGGAGTTTTAAAGAGAAAAGGAGAAGAAAGAACAATGCTGGAAGAAAGCCCCTTTATAAAAAGCCAATTCAAGTTTAAAGTTGAGTCCCTCCCAGAGGCCTTGTTTCTCAGATAGACACCCATTCTGATGAGCTCTAAAGTTTCTGGCATCTCTAGCTAGAAAGGACAGTCTGTGAAGTCCAAATCCAAGAAGTCTTGGAGATCAGACACAAACCAGCTGCATTCAGGATTTCTCTAGCACCGGCTTACAGAAAATAGTTGAGTCAAGGATAAATATTATGGTAAAATTTGCTTTTAAGAAACATAGAAACTCAAAGATTGAGTTTCTTTCTTTTTTTGTCCATTCACAATAAAATATTTACAGAGATTTGACATAATTATGTTAATTGCAACACACATAATGACCATTTCACTTTATAAAGCAAATTTTAATCAGAGCTACGCATATTTTTCTGAACTTTAAGAGCCTAGATTAGAGGCTCAAAATAGTGAGAAACATGATATAAAAATGAGAAATATTACACACATGTAATCTCTTATCAAACACAATAAATGGCTAATTTCTTTTTCGTTTTTGGTTTTTTGAGACAGGGTCTCACTATGTAGTTGAGACTGACCTGGAACTCACTATGTAGCCAGGATGGTCTCGAACTCACAGCGATCCTCCTGCCTCAGCCTCCCGAGTGCTGGGATTACAGGCGAGCGCCACCATGCCTGGCGCTAATTTTTTTTTTTTTTAGGTTAATATAAGTAGTTTGCTCTTTCTGGAATTTTTAAATCAATTCCTAACAGAAATGGCATTCTTCAGTATGGCCCAGTCTTGGCCAAGACCTTGACATATTCAATAGCACTTAAAGTCTTTAAATTGACTTAAACATCTCTATTCTTGCAAGTTTATGTCTAGAGAGTTGGCTCTATTTGTAATGTTGGGTGATCACTAAGATTAAAACTGGGCCTTCAGCCTTCCAGGGTCAATGTTGTTATCCTTGGCTTGCATTTTTTGAAGTATTTATGAGTTTATTCACTTTATTTAATTATGACATCAAATGAAAATCTCACCTTGTGATGCCCAAATTCATTCAAAATACTTCCCAGTTTTCTGGTGTTGCTGTACGGTTTTTGGGCGGCAAGAGCAGGATGAGGATCACGCCAGTCGATGGAGAGGCGGTGATACCACAGGCGCTGACTCTCCAGAACGTGAGCTGATTTGACAGTAGGGTCAAAACGGTGCACTTCGCATCCGTCATTGGCCATGCTCACCTCAAAACGGGTATCGTCACTTCCCAGCCTGAAGAGGAAGAGGATGGAAATCAACAACAACAAAAACATAATGCAGCAAGGTGCTGGACTGACAATGTGACAGTTCCAAAGCCAATTTTCTTATCCTGAGATTTCTATTTTAATACAGGTGTAATTCACACATTCAATAAACTTTCTTTCCTCCCGAAATAAAAGCATTATAATTCAAACCCTCTGAATAAAATAAAAGGAAATTATTTGCTAAATGCAGACCAGAATATCACATGCTCAAGCATGTAGAAGCATATCACAAACATTTTTTAAAAAGATATAAATCATAGTAACAATGAGATAAATCGGGTTATCTGTTAGCGGTAAGACTTTCTCAAACTATGCCAAAAATACAATCCCCAGATTTGTTCCCTTGAGGAGAGGTGCATTCCACTAATGAGGTAATTTATCTCCTTTCTAATGTCCACAGTGCTGTGTAAGCATTTGCCTCAAAGGCAACAGCTGTTTTTTTAGAAATAGAGTGTATTTTCAAATAGCACAGCTGAAGAAAAGAAAAAAAGACAAATGTACACAGTTGTACCAGATCCAGAATGCAAGAAGCAAAAGAGGCCCTTTATCTAAATTCACATCACCAAAGGGAAAAAGTTACATATTAGTTATATCTAAGAATACAGTAAGAAGAAAAATCATGTAGACAATTAATATACTTACAAATATTTGAATTTATTTAGAAATATTTATTTGATGGTATGAGAATCATTGCTTCAACTAAAACATATATTTAAATGAAATTGACCAATAAACTGATTACCCCTTATCTGTCCAAAATTCTGTAATTATATGTATTTTAGTATACCAAAATCCCTTGCAATATCTGTAGTACATTGGCCAACTTGAACCCAAGCAGCAATGTTTTATTATCTTAAACAAACTATTGCATAATTTGGAAACATACAAGTTCAGTGGATAACAATTATTTATCAGGTCTGAGTCAACTAAAATAAGTCTTCAATATAGAGATCCTGTACCTACACCTTACGAATCTTATTTGCCTCCTTCATCCCTTCATCCTACTCACTGGATTCCATGACACGAAAGCCAACCTTCTGATGTCCCTCAGCTGTAGTTCTTTTGACCCTCTTTGGCTAGAAAAAGATTTAATAGTCCTCTTAAGTTCTCTTTTATATAGCAGGTCCTGCTTCCTATTTTTTAATTTTCTGTTGAGTCCACACATTTTAGACCATTGTACTATCTATCCATTTCTTCTCAATTTTTCCAATATCTAACCTGCTGTGACACATTGACTCATTGGCCCTAATTCTTCACCCATCTTTCATCCGCACTACTGCCATCCTGTTTGTGAGAGAGTGTACACCCTGCCCTTTGATTTTTTTTTACTTGGTCACGTGACTGCTCTTCTAGAAGGAAGTCACAGGATGCCAGCCCTTATCCAAGTCCTTGAGTGCTTCTGCTCACCCTCTGGTGATATAATCATGATAAAAATGTGCAAGACACAGCTTGTTGGTGTCAAGAAAATAAGAACTATCAGGAGCAGGAGGCAATCCCAGCTAGTCAATAGGTCTTCCATAAAAAACAGAACTTCCTTGGCCATCTTATTCTGAAATAAAGTATCCCAGTTGAGCCCAGCTTAGATCAGTTGAAGACAAGCTGGCCAGCAGACACAAAACTATATAATAAATAATGGGGATTTGAAGCCACAGAGTGATTTGATAAAAAGCAATAACTACCTGATATACCTGGTAATTGATACAAATCTGACTTTCAGCCAAAACTACACAGCATTTTTAGCACACAGATTTACATCTCTATAGATAGGATGTCACTGAAGTCACCTATTGCAAAGGCTTTTTCATTTCATTAACTTCATTAAAAGTCAGATGAGCAAAGCACTGTTAACATAGGTAATGCAGTAGGGAAGGATAGTTCATTGGCTTCACTGAGACAACATTAAGTGGGCTGGATGTAGCTCAGTGGTGCTATGCCTCCAGCTCAGTGGTGCCACGCCTGCCTGGCAAGCGCAAGGTCCTGAGTTCAATCCCTGGTACCAAAAATACCCCCACAACATTAAGTCAAAAACTACTCATTAAATACAACTTGTACTTATATATAATTTATATACTATAATATATACAATATATATAACATACATTATGTATGAACCTCCTAGAGTAAAAATGTACATACTTTCTTCCTCAGTTAATTTTCAGAATTTTTTCAAACATTTTCTACTCTAAAGCACATGCATGTATTTAATCAAGACCTTTAAAAAAATCATAAGAATTAAATTAACTGCATGCCATTTTGTAACTAATCATTTTGGCAAGGTATTTTATTATATATTGATATGTTTCCAATTTACACTAGTTTTTTAGAACTAAAAAAATTACAGATACACAAAAAAAATCTATTGTAAGAAGTATATCAAATGAAAAGTACAAGTTTTCTACCACTAGAAACTTAGCTGCTAATTCTGAGATTAATATGGTTGGCAATTTTTTGTGTACTTTTTTCAAAATTTTCCAGATATACACAAGTGTTTTCTATTATAAATTACCATAAGTACACACATACACATATAAGGTAATCATTAAGTAGTAGGGGTTGTTATATACAATATATATAAATTAATAACAGAACTATTTGTCATTTGTAAATTTTACCTTAAAAGTTACTTTTACTCAACGCATTTAATCTTAATATATAAGTATGTATTGTACTAGAAAGTAATACATTATACTTATTTAATTAGTGCTCTTAATTATTACTTTCACTTAAATTTCTGACTTTCACTTGGAATGGTACTTCTTCAGGCTTAGTTTAAATTAGTCAAAACTGTAGTAGGTACCAAAAGTAAGGTGAACAAATGGAATATATGAAGATGTAAAATACAGGCCAGGGTAGTAAAACCAGGAGTCAGGTTCTATCCTGGAGGGTCCAAGGCACATACATGTGACACTTCACCTCACAGTAGATGAATACAGGACACAGGAGTAGGGAGGAACACTGACAATCTCAGTGGTCTAGGAAATTGTCAGTTACTAAATAGCAAAGCCCTGCGAAGAACAGTTTTGTGTCAACCTGGCTCATTTCTGAATCTTTAGTGCTGGGGAAAGAAATGACACACAGGCACAACAAATGCTGCCATAAGTGAAAGAAAATTACAGCTAAGATCTGAAATTCCCATGATATACTGTACAGTATCCAAACATAGCATGTGGTAGGCTGCATTTCACTGACTTGTTCATGTACATGAATGCATATTTATAGAATACTTGATATGCACAAAGAACCATATAGGACGTAGGGAACAAACAGGTAATTAAACGTGGTTCTTGACCTGAGGAAGCTCACCAAGCAGTAATGAAGAGGTTTGAACAAATAACTATATTGACAACTATTATTCATACCAAGGATGTACTTAGTTCATAAAGAAAACATTTTATGTTGTTATTTAGCTGGAAAATTCACTGGAGAAAATTGTACTGGACAGATGTATTTTGCTTAATGTTTATTGCATGAAGCAAGAAGAACAGATCATTTGGGTTTCATATCAAGGTCTAAGACAACTGCTCCATTGTCATCCACCCTGTGTTTCCAGTCATCAGCAATGGTAGAAGGGGAAGCATTGGTCACACCTCTTCCTCTGGAGCCATAACCTGAAAGCTGTACACGTCACTTCCATTTACATGTGGCTACTTAGTGCTACAACAAAGGCCAAGAAACACAGCCACCAGTAGGGTGGCCATGTGCCCTGGTAATCTCAGGAATTCTGTTACCAAAGGAAGAACAGGAGAATGCATATTAAGGGACAATTAGCAGTTCCTACTATGACCCACTTATGAAACAGTTGAGCAGTTACAATCTATATTCAAATATACAAGCCTTTGAGTTGAGATTGCAACCTCAGCTTCCCTATGTGGGAGACAGAATTGTGTAACTCGTGTTTAAAATATTATTCTGCATGCATTAATGCTGGGCTTTGAGGTCACAGTGACTTTTCAACATAGAAAAATCATCAAATCTAAGAGCTCCTGAAGAAATAGAAAGGAGGAATTTTACAGGGCTAAATTTCCAAAGGCAATACAATAATAGAGTGACCACTTTAACTCTCCTTCTCTGATGGTTTAGAAAAAAATAATCAGGATCTCTGCATGCAGTTGTGTGGGTTGTACACTAAACAACTCTAGGAGACGCCGTTCACATCACAATGACCATAATGATGATTTTCTAGCAGATTGCAGTTGGTGTTCTTGAGGGAAGGCTGCTTCTTTTGCAAGTTGTACAAAAGTGTTTTTCAATTTTGGTGGTGCTGGAAATCAATCACATGCCCTTTCATACTACTGAAGGATAAAAGCTATGGATTGTGGGACTATGTTAGGTCTTTGGTTACTCTTTTAAAAGCACCCTTGAGAGTATAAAGGTGAGTGGCTTTTATGTTCCCTAGGTAGGGTCATAACTCAGTCCCCTAAGTTCACTAAAAGATGCTCAAGATCATTTGTCAGTAGAGAAACACAAATCAAAACCACAATGGGATAGTCCTTTACATTCACTAGGGTGGCTGTACCTGAAAAGTGCAATAATAATTAAGTTTTGGTAAAAATATGCAGAAATTAGAACCCTCATAGGTGACTGGTGGGTCATAGATGAAGGTAAAATGGTACATTCCCAAGCTAAATGAGAATATATGCCTACTCATAAACTTGTATGTGACTGCTGATCTCAACATTCATAGCAGTTAAAAGTGGAAACAACCCAACCCATGAGTGGATAAATAGAATGTGGTATATCTACACAATGGGACATTATTCAGACATAAAAGGAATGGAGTGCCAATATACGCTATAATGTAGGTGAATCCTGAAAATGGTATTCTAAATGAAAGAAAACAGTCACAAAAGACTACATGTTGTATGATCTTATTTACATGAAATGTTTAGAATATGTGAATCAATATAGACAGAAAATAGAGTGACAGGTGCGTAAGGCTGGAGACCTCCGGGTTACGGAGATAAAAGTTGAAGGAAAATTGGGAGTAGCTACTGTCAGGTACAGGGCTTCTTTTGGGGGATGATGAACGTTTTAAATTAGTCGTAGTGACTAGAAGCCATTGAGTTCATTACGTTAAATATGTGAATTTTAACTCGATGAAGCTGTTTGCAAAGCTAAAATATATAAAGTAAGCCAAAGCAGGTATGAGAAAAGCTTTAAACCTTCATCACTGAAGGGAGAGGGTTTGGAAGAGGTAAGACAGTTAATACTTTCGCTGGGAGTTTCAGTACTTTGTCCTTTATTCCAGCAGGAAGCAGAGAATCTGGCCAAGTGGTTATATAGATGTACAAACTGCCAACTGCCAGAGGGGGAGAAATAGGATTTGCAAAGTATAAATGACATTTAATGGTAGATATAACATATTTTATAATTATTGATTTGTGTTTAATAACATTTCATGAACTGCCAAGATTTTTATCTAAAAGATATATTCTCAACAGGAAAACAGCACTTTTGAAAGAGTGAAATGGATTTTATCTAGGGACCCCCAAAAATTCCTCTCTTTATATATCAAGCACCAGTATTATATTTCGCATGAAGAGATAACAGTATAGCTATGATATTAAAAGTTCATGGAGAGGTGATGAGGAAAAAATGTCTAAAAAGGGACCTTTTACAATATTCTTATTCTCCTGTGGAATTCAGTATACATAGCATGTACTACACTAATATTATTTCTTCCATCTTAATTAAGACAAAAATATTTGACTCTGAAGCTTGTTCCTTCTTGCAATGCTCCCCAAAACTTCTAGGTTTTCTGTGTAAAATATTGGCTCTTGCTGCTCCTGTGTCACTGGTGAAATCTTGTGTCTTACACTAAGAATTTCAGTTTTTGAAGATGAAAATTATGACCTCTGATAGAACTAAAGGGAGGAATGTTTACCTTTGTGAAAGGAAAAAGAAGGTGCTCTTCTCCTCTTCAATTTATCCCCTGTGCCTTCCCAACCACGGCTCAGACAGCTCCCCTCCACTATCTTTACAGGACAACTGCAGGGAAGATCCTGAATGAAGTGAAGTACAAGATATGAACCTCTAATCCTGAAGCCTCTCACTATCTCTCTCTCCTCTTTCTACTTCTTCTCAGTGCCTTGCCCTGTTTTCACTGGTCCATCCCACCCCATTTCAAAAGTCCAAAGGGCTGAGTTTGAATTTGCATCAGAACATCACAGAGTGCATTGTGTCAGACAAACATCCTTTACAATGACTGCAGTAAAAAGCTTTGACTCCTAGTAAGGAAATTTCAGTCATCAGAGGAATGGCAGCAGTGATACCAGCTCTTGGGCTGGAGGAAAGGAGGTAGGTCAGATCCGATGTAAGGCCACTGGCCTCTGCCTTCCAAATCTTGTGTCCTCATTCTGGGAAAGTTATTGCCCCACTGTAGCTACATCTTTGGTTTGCGTGGGAATTCTGGGTCTCGTGGCTGCCAAAGCCCTGGGGCGTGGAGCACAGACAGCCTGTACGCAACACCCCGTATGACTCACCACCTGCCCTCCCCATCTGCCATCACCCCAACACTCCCAGGTGCTGGGTCCAGGGCATGTTCCCTCTGACGCTCTTCATTTCAGGACCAGCACTGCTAGTCTGGTTCTTCCAGTGTTAGCCGAGCTCCCTGTCCCTTCAGCATGAAGTTTGCCGGAGCAGGGAAGCTTGTCTGGATCTCCAAGTCACAGTGCAGTTAGCACCACCACCCACAATTCAAAGCTTCCTTTTTTAACCACCAGAAATATTTTCTTTAGTTTCCACTTTTCAATTAGGCGCTTTTATGTTTTTATCAGATATTAACCTCTATAATCTATTTATTTCTTTCCTCAGTGGAATTCAAGTGTTCTCATCTGTTCCTTACAAAGCTGATTTTCTGAATGCTGAACAATTTAAAAGAAAGTCAGGAATTGCCTTTTTCACTGTAATAATCTAAAATCCTACTATAGAGCAATTTTATCTAACAGCTCTGCAGAGTGTAAGGAAAGAAAAAAGGAAATTTTTAAAAATTTCCCCCCAAACAACTCTCCAGGTTTTATTTTATTTTATTCAGTTATATGCTTTAAATGAGATTGTTCCAGGGTATAAAATGTGAAGTAAAATATAAAGCAGTTCAGAGCAAGAGAAAGAATCAAACTGAGATCTTCGATTTGCATGTGGTACTATGCAATTATTTTCTGGCCCACTTTCATACCATATGAATACAGTAAACTCCTGTCACAACTTCGCATTCCTCCTATACTCTTGAGGCTCAGCTGGCAGACTCCCAGGAAAAAAGTCCAGTCCTAACCAACTGGCTGAGCAGTTCATCATCTAATGCAAGCCTCCACTCCAACAAGACTTTACATAGCAGGCATGTATCGAGGGCCTCCTGTATGCCACGCCGCACCAATGGGCATCACCAGTATATATACCTGCATGCAACCCATGTAAGGCTATTTCCACTATCCATAAACTCATATTTATATCTTACATTCTTTAATCTGCAAGAACTGGCTACTCTGGTTCATTACAGCTTGATAGCAACTGTGATCTCTCTGCTCCCCCACCTTTGAGGAGGACTCCACATCCCCGGCTGTCTGCCCCTAATCCCGACAGTAGGATTCTGGCCGGAGCTGGCAGAATGTAAACCAAGGGGGAGGCGATGAAAACTACAGAGGAGGAGAAGGCACATGGCATCTGTCAGAGTCCACAGCACTGTTTGAAAAGAACTTCAATGGTGTAGCCCAAGAACCTACCTACCTCCTACAGAGAGTTGATGGAACAGGGTGTCCCCAGCAGAAATAATTCCCTCCTGCCTGTTTTTGAGACATATATCATTCATAAGTTCAGGACTGTTTATAAAAATACTGATTGATTCGGTGAAATAATACTCATTCTTTATAAAAAAAAACTGTCTAAATCCATTTTTGTATTTAGGTCATTTTAGTAAATGCATATTAACTTTTCTCCATTTTGAAAAAAATTACACAATTATCATGAGAATGGCTTTTAATTTCTTTTAAAAATACAAAACCATATGTAGATTTATCATTGGTACAAAACATAAAAACCCCGACAGTGGGCCACTCAACACCGTGTACAAAGTGTCAAACACACTCTATCTTTTCCACCTCTACTCATTAACGTTCTTCTCTCTTTATAATAAGGGTGCTCTGATTCTACCTGAAAATCATTGGTTTCACCAAGAGGATCTCTGTCAAATTGAGAAGTGAAGCTCCCAACACCAACTTGTTAACAGCAGAATAGAAGAAAAGTGGGCCAGTGATTTAGCTCAGTGGCACCACGCCTGTCTCACTAGTGCAAGGTCCTGAGTCTGATCCCTGGTTTTAAGAGAGAGAGAGAGAGAGAGAGAGAGTGAGAGAGAAAAAAGAATAGAGGAAAAGTGGCTCTGGTCAAGGTGACTTGGGTAATCTGCCCAGCCTGCAGCTGCACAACACATCAATCTGAAACAAGGCCCAAGTAGAGGCAGAGCGCCTGTGTATACTGCAAGCAGTCGTAACTTTGGGAAAACTGTGCCTGCCTGTGCGAGTGGGTGGGGTTTGTACTTACCCTAAAGAGTAGAGGCGGCACTGCTTGCTGCGGATTTGATGAGCTAAGCCAAACCTGTCGTCAAGACACACCAACCAAGGCTTGTTTGCAGGGCTGGAGTCGGTAGCCAGGCTGTCTGTGCTCATGTGATTGCATGCAATCTGTGGAAATTGGAAATCAATATGAATAATTTAAAATGCTGGATGATAAACGGCAGGTAGAGACTTACTGCTTCCCTGGACCCTGAAAGCCTTAATAGGAAAGTTATGTCTTCCACTGCTAACTGCTCCCCTCCCCGGGGAACCACAAGACTGCTGCAAAATGTTCGGAGGAATTTCAGTTACATACCAGATAAGAAGTAACTTCATGAAGGCTCGATGTAGGTTTGAAGGGAGGTGATGAGCTGCTATAGCCATTTGCCCAGACAGCGGATCAGGAGCAGAGATGGGAGGGAGAGGCTCTGCAGAGGTGCGTTAGTCTGGGAGGACGAACAGACATGGACAGGGAGGCTCTGACAGAGAGGGCATGCAGACACAGCACAGTACAGAATCCCCACTGCAAGATGTTGTTAACTACGGGCACAGATCTCAGAAGCATGCTCACAAGGTTATCTCTCCCTCAGTTCAGGCAGATAAGGTGGGCCATAAAGTCACAAAGATGGATTGTGTTTCCCAAGGTAGATAGCTGAGCAAGGGTTAAGTGAAATTATGAGACAGTCCCTGCTGATAAGATGGTATTTTTCTAAAGAAACTGCTCTAATGAGCTTCCTCCTGGGAAAGAAGGGCAAGAGTCCCAGACAGAAGGTTCTTAGAAGCTAACCAAGGCACTTTTTTTTACACATCTATCAAAATTAGGTAAGAAAATCAAGGGAATGTAAGTCTAAGTGAAGCAGAAATAAATTTCTAACTCCAAGTGCACATTAAACAAACGTACTTTACAAAGGATGCTGATTTGTGCTTGAGATCTGTGCTGTTTGCATGGCTGACGCTGCTGGAATGGAAGCAAGTAAGTCTGTGGCCAAGATATTCACCTTGCTGAGCACCAGTATCCACCTCCTCATCCCTCCAAACTCTCACAGTCACCACATGAAGCTCTTGCTGTCACATTATAGACTATGGACCCCTTCAGATGCAAAAGATGTTTTGAGGTTTGTTGCTTAAATTCATTAGAAAAAATAACAGCAAGGATTTTCTTCTTGACAAGATATTCCAGAATTGCCTAATCCATTTATGCACCTGATTTTCCCAAGTTTTATTCTAAGAAGTGCACAGAGCTATTCAGATAGTATATCTGCGTTACTATTGCTATAACCTATGGCTGGCCTGGTGAGACTGTCCTGACAGTATTGAGAGTCTTCTCCTAGAATTGGGACAAATCAAAGGAAAGTTAAAACAGAGATATTCTTTTCCTTCAACCCAATATCTTTCTACTTCTCTATCTCCAACACTCTTGAAGGAGAAAAACAATAATGGAAAATAGAATTGAATTTTCTCTCAAGCAACTACTACAGAATAAATTAACTAGGTGCATCAACATATTAATCTGTATAATTCATCTTCTACTATTCCCCCATAAGAAATGGAAGTTATGCTGTGCCTGTCTACATCTTCTTCCCCACCCATCCCCCCAAAGGAAGGGAAGGTGCTACTGTAATTAGTCAGAGCACTGTTGGCTCAGTTGGCCCTTAGCTCCTAGAGGACAGATGGGCACATTTGCTCACACTCTTCTCAGTGCCCTGCCTCCAGTAGGAAGCTGGCTGGTCCAGGGAAGTCCTGTGGGCCTCACAGCATTCCTGGACTTCATAAGCTAGAGCAATTTGCTCAAAGGCAGTTTCTGGAATGCTTTTATTTAAAAAGCTATGCTGATTCCCATTGCTTTTGCTCTTGGTGAGCACTTCTCTACCAAGAACTTCCAAATGTGAGCTAGGCTATGTATGTTCAACAGGTCCTTTGCTCAAGTATTCCTTCTGATATAACCAAAATCTAACTCCAGCCTCTTTCTTAGTGTGTAAGGCATGATCTCACCTGTATCAGAATCTCTTGGGAGATACTTAGAACTGCAGGTTCCTGGGTTCCACTCCACATCTGCAAAGTCAGAATCTTTGAGACTAACACCTGGGAACATGAATTCTAAGAAGCTTCCCCAGTTAAATCTTATGCAGATGGTCCTGAGAGCTCACTGGAGGACTTGGCCTTTTGTGAAGCTCAGAGAAATGTTCCAGACTGGTCTCACTTGTGTCTTTGTGAATTAAGGGAAGAAGATATTCTTGGGTCAGGGCTTTCAACTGAAAGTGTCACCCTCTCTGACTTCAACTCCAGCAAAGGACCAGAGTGATTGTCGGAGCATCAGCCAGAAGCCTCCAGAAGTCAGGTATGAAGGGCCAAGAGTCAGGATTTTAAAATCTATTTTCTCTTCCTTTGCCAGCATCAGTAGCTAAGGTTTTATTCTATTAAAGATAATGCTTTGTCTAATTAAGCATTTCTTCCTATTCAATGATTTTATCTTGCACAGACATCTCCCTATTACAGAGACATTCTTGTCTATGCAGTCTCTCTAATAATGTTCTTCTTTCCTCCCTTCATTCAGACATAAACCCATGGTAGTTATGCAGTTTTAGCCATTTATTAACCATCTCACTGACAGACATTTGTTTTTCAAAATAACTAGGACTCCTCCATAAAATTCTGCTCCTAAAATTAATTAAATATTGAGTTTTTTCAAACTTTCTAATTAAGATCTATGGCCAGGGCTTCAATAAATCTTGCAAGCAAAATAAGTGAGAGCAGCAACTCTGAGCTAAGCTTCAACTCCAGTAATTATACTCCCTGTCCGCCTCGTAGTTTTAACCACATAAAGTAAAGGAATATAGACTCCAGGAAAAAAAAATGTTTTCTGAAATTATTTTCAGTTATTTAGCTGAAATGGATCTAATTTATTCTCATTTCTTTTTGCATCCCAGAAGTTTAAATAGTATGTCTGCCAATCCCTAAGGAAAATGGGACAAAAGAAGTCCATAATATTTAGGGATTTGGGACAGTAATTACTTTAATAACCAACTGTCTCATTATTTTGAAACATTCAAGGGCAGAATTGTATTTTTGTTGTTTTTGTCCTGGGGTATGTGTGTGTCTTTTTGTGTCCCTGTGTCAGAGCAAGAGCAAACATAATAGATACCACTGTTACAATGTTGTAAAGTTATTGTCTGAACCTCCAGAGCCTGAGTTCTTAAATTATTTTTACAGATAGACGGGTAGATAATTACACAGATATATAATAGAAAAACGGGTTTCAAAACATATTTTATTTTTTCATATCTAAAACAGCCACTGTTGCTTAGAGTGATTTTGTACTGCAAGGCTTACTTCCTGGAGGCATATGGTTTGGGGGTTGCCATAAAAAGCTGAATCTGGAAAGTTTCTGCAGAACACAGCACTGTGTTTATGATTTAACCATTTCTTGATAGCAGCAGACAGTATATCAGTGCCTACAGAACCTTGTTTTGCAGACATGCTTTTTCATGTTAAAGATATATACCTAACTAAACTAAACTCGATGCTCTGTGTACTCTACTCACACGCCATAACCTTTGCTGTTTCATTAAAAATGCAGAGCCCTACCCTGCCTCCAGGGTGCCCACAGAGCACCAGTCCAGTCAGAGCATGCCCCCGGCCCTACCATGCCTCTATTCCCAATCTCCCTTGACCTGGAGTGCCTTCTCTGCCCTCTCTCTCCCTCCGTCAGAGGACACATGCCACCCTTGCACTCCAGATGTTTAGAGGGAGGAGAATATTTATTCAGGTTTGACATCCCAGAGCCCAGCACAGTGCCAGCCACAGAAGAGGTGCTCAAAAAATTTCTGCTGCGTCAATGCACGAAAAAATCAAATTCTGGACCTTTCTGTACAAGTTTGAACAATTGTGGAGATTTTTTTTTAAATTTAAAAAAGCAGCATGAGAGGATGGGGGTGGAATTCACTTTAGTACTTTCAAAAAATTTCTTTTCCTAGTCCGTTATGACTCACTCCTGCTAACTGTGAAATTTTTAAGTTACAGTGACTCTCATATTCTGCCAGTTTTGCAGGCTTCCATTGTCAAGATGAGTTCTAAATGAGGCATAAGCCACAAAAGCAGCCAAAAAGTTCTGCATTACACGGAGGGGGAGGGCGCAGTGGTTAGCATGGGATTCTGATAAAGAACCGCCCAGTGCCATTTGTGATAGCTCCCACCTGCTGGCCTCCTACTGAGCTGGAAGTGTAGTAGAGCACAAGACTTCACCTGGAAAAGATGGCTCCTGATTACAAGACCACCGTGAGATCTGGAACTTTATCTCACTTTCTGCAGGACAAGGCTCCTTCTAGTGAGCTCTGAAGGAATTTAGGATGCGCCATCTCAAAATACATCCAACTGGGACACTGATTATTTCAAGCTGAAATCACTTGAGAAACTGAAACTTCAGAAAGGGACATCTGGTTTATCTTTTCCTACCTGAAGCAAGCCATAGAAGTTTTTCTGGGGAGGGATGTCCTTCCCATCCCAAGACTGGAAAAGAAGCTTAATCACCAGAGACTGGTAATTGGGGCTGCAAAGAAACTGAATAAATAAACTTCTCAAAGTACCCTTGATCTTTGACTAGCATTTATTTCCCCTCCCCTCAACCATATCTCTTCACACCATCCCTAAATTTACCACCCCAGTCCAGAGATCCATTTTTCCCATCCTTTATTCACAAGTTTATTGTTTTTGTCTAAAAGATATAAAAACATCATTCCTTAGTCATTTCTTTGGCTCTCATTCTCTTGTTGAAGAGAATGCACATTTACATGTGCATGTAAACTTATAAAACTTTTATACTTTTCACTTATTTATCAGCCCTTGTATTGAACAGTGTCCTACATCTACCCAAAGGGCCCACACAAGAATTAAGGGGAGTAAAGGGAACCTTTCTCCCCTAGGGCTTCAGCAACTAAACCTCTATCACTGCACTCACCAGGCTGGATAATAATTATGCATCATTTATCTGCCTAAGGTCTACATCAGTTCTAGCATGTTGTAGGTGCTCAAAAATACAATGTTATTAATAATGCTATCACACTCTCTATGAAGCACAAGATCACAGAACTGGGAGAGACATCAGAAATAACTGATCCAATCTCTTCCTTTTCAAGATCAGAAGGGTGAGAGCCAAAGAAACAAAGTAAATTGCCTGAGGTTACAACATCAGACTGTATTACATCAGAGGATACTCCAGTTTTTTAAAGAATTTTTCTCCTCTCGGCCCAGGGCTCATGGTAAGGGTCCAAGAGGAATCTGAAACCACCATGTTATGCCTCAAGATCACCTTCTAAGTTATATAACATTAACCTAAAATACATATAAAATGAAATTTGAAATCTTGCAACTAGCAAATTAATTTTGGAAGGTCGAACATATAGATCACAAATTCAGTTTACAAATTTAACAACTCTCATTTTTCTCTGGGGTCTTGAAGAGTTTTTAAAAGTCATAGCTTCCCATCCTTTGTGAAAAAAAAATGATAAAATTCCCAATATTTTAATCAAGTCTGTATAAATCCACCCAATTAACTTGCAGCAGCAAAATACAGTAAAAAGCACAAGGACCGATTTATCATCCCATCACCCACAATTAATTTCACAACCTTTTAATTCTACGTTTGGGTGACAAGTATTAAAATCCCTATGATTCTCTGACTATATTATATGAGAAATGGAACTTTCTTTTACACCTAAACCAGCTTCCTAGAGACCTAACCATCCAGTCTCTCCAATGGATGAAAAGCAGTTTCATTGCCAGCAAGGTTCAGGAGGACAAGGTTGCTGACAGCCAGTAGGCTGGAGACAGTACCCCTTAGGTCAGGCAAGGTTCACAAGGCAATATCTTGAATGGGTCTACGATCAGCTGGCAAGCAGTCCGAGTTCTTAATTTACCAGCAGCTCTCAGGCCTAGGTCTCCTCCTCCAACTGCCTCTTCCCCAGGACCAGGCAACTTGAGTGTGGAACTTTCTGATGAACGTGTCAGGAGCCACAGACTCCCCTAACAGATGGGCTCCCTGGCTGCCTGGGGCACAGACTGTGCAGTGAGTTGGGCAGGAGCTGCCACTGTATATTAAGTCACTGATCAAGGCCACAGAGGCTCAGTAACAATTTAAAGTGCTCCGAGGAGAAGGAGCCTTTGGATTCATTAACTTCTCATTGTTCTGCCTCAAAGTCTCCTCTGCTGTCTTGCCCAATATGTCCCTGGCCTCCACATGTCTGAGGCAGAAAAGCAAGAAGGCGAATGCCTCCAAATCCAGAACAGAGCTTGAGCCTGCAGATGATGGCTGTTTTGTGACACACTTGGCAGCCTAATCGCAGGGATGAATCTGTTGCTTGAAATGCTTTTCCAAAGCAATTTTCTAAAGTGGATCTTTAAAACACTTCGGCATGAATCATTGGAACAGTTCAGCTTGGTGAGTCTCCTGAAAGGAAGAAAATGCCCTAGCAAAAGGAAGCCTCTTATCCACCTCCAGGGGAATGAATACATTTAAGCAACAACGCCTGGGAAACCAGGTCCCTGCCTGGAACCTGTCAGAAACTCCCCACCCCTCCCAGACAACCCGTTCTTTCTAAGTGGCAATCGGTGCCCTTTACACTGCTTCCAAACCCATTTGAATTGGAAACACAACCTGAGTGGTGCTGATATATCTCAAGAATCTCCAGGCTTCTTCATCCAAAGACTGAGCAGGGCCTGCCCAGGGCTGGAGCTGTATTTGCCACCGGGGACCCTGTGAGAGAAGAGAACACAGGCAGCATGTAAGGCATGGGGAGCTGGGCAGGGTGGGGAGAGTATCACACGGGTCAAGGTTGCCTTTGTGGTCGCCAAGGCGAGCACGTGTGCACAGAGGCAGCCAGGAGCTCTCTTGGAGCTGTTGTCATTAAAAGTACACGGGTCACAGGGAGACAAATGAGGCCAGAGAAAGTCCAGTGCGCAAGTGAAGCAGGAGATAGCAATGGCCCTA